CTCTTCCTCTCTCTTCCTTTCTCTCCCACCTTTCTCTTTCTCTTCCTCTCCTTCTCCCACTTTTCTCTCTTTCTCTTCCTCTCGTCTCCCACCGCTTTCTCGTCCTCTCTTTTCCTCTCTCTCCCACATATCTTCCTTTTTCTCTCTCTCCCACCTCTCTCTCTTCCTGTCTCCCACCTCTCATTCTCGTCCTCCCTCTCTTCCTCTCTGTCCCACCTCTCTTGCTCTTCCTTTTTGTCTCCCACCTCTCTCTCTTCCTCCTTCTTTCTCCCACGTCACTCTCTTCATCTGTCTCTCACCTCTCTTTCTCTCTCTCTTCATCCCTCTCTTCTTCACTCTCCAGACTCTCTCTTTCTCTACCTTTCTGCCTCTTCCTCCCATTTTATCTCTCCCACCTCTTCCTTATCCTCGCTCTCCCACCTCTCTCTCCGTCTCTTTTTGGTCTCTGACAAAGGGCTGCTGTCAGCACTGATTGCTCCCCCAGGACCTGCGGTGATGGGGGCCGGGAAGGTGACAGCATTTCCATGCCTGTGCGTTTCATGGGGTAAAGAGTTTGCCTCCCACTGTCCCCGTTGTCCCCTGGAGCTCACGCTGATGGCACTTTAGCGTGTTAGTGACTGGGCCAGCCACAGAAACTTCAGGATTCTGCTGTCGGAATTCCAGGACGCCAGAAGGTGGCAGGAGAGAGTTGTGTGGTCATTTGGAGCCTGGTAGACATGCAATAGCTATCGGTATGGGGTGTCTCGAGGGTGACACCTAGTGGCCATCATGGTGCTTGACGCTGTCCTCTTAATCTGCTGTTTCCCTTTTGAATGTCTGACCGCAGTTCCGTAGTCGTGCTCTGGGTTTCCTCGAATCATGTAGAACATCAACCCGAAAGGCAGTTCTCCTGTGGGGTCCTGTGCTCCCCCCCAGCCCCGTCCCTGCCCCCTGCCCCCCCCAACATCGCTTCTGTGTCTGCCGCCAGCTCCATGCCAGCATTCCGTAACAGGAGTCCGATTCAGGGAGTCTGCCCCAGATTCTGCAGACTGAGCACTGCTTTGGTAACCACACGCGCTCACACTCCTTCACCTCCCTTCTGGCCAGGCTCTCTGTCCCTTTCTCCTCAGCAGCTGAGTCAAGTTAAACTCACTGTGTTACAAGAGCATGGACATGTATCAGAAGAGCAGTTGATGTGTAGAACATTAGGGATGGGGGGTGATACTTCAGGGCACCAGATAAATCATATAAGGAGAGAAAACAAGGGACTAGACCTGCGCTCCTGCTGGTTTACAGAAGTACAAGTTCTTGACAGCAGGGGGTGCCGTTGGACCAGGGGTTGCCTTCGTTTGCAGCACGATGAGGCGCTTCGTCGGAAAATAGGGGAGGGCGGAGCATATGGAGGGAGCAGCTGTCGTTATACCGGCAGAAAGCGTCGGAGGTTATGGGGACGAGAAGCGTGCGAGATAAACAGGGGACGCGCGGTGCTGCAGGCAGCCTGACATGAAAGGTCGGCTGGCGGAGCTGTTTCCATGGCAACTCCGAGGCTGGTGTCAGTGCAGCCCCGCCCCCAGAGACGTCTTGAAGGAAGCGTCGGTAGCGGATCCAAGGAGAAGACCGATGCAGCGTCGTCAATGAATATCCCCCCCCCCCCCTCGCCGTGGCCTATTTAAATTGTATAATTCTGTGATTTCTGAGCCAGCAAACTGCCAGGAAAGTGGGGGGCCTGGGGCGGGCGCCGTTTAAAATGTAATACCAGGTAAGTTTGTTAAAGAATGCGGTGATGACATTGTTTTGCGACCAGATTGCATTATGGGTCGGCAAGGACTCTGACACGCGATACATGCCCCTCCCCCACCCCGATCCATATCACAGCGCATTATACTGTGATAAAGCTGAACTGACAGCCGTTTAACTCATCTGCCCCCCCC